TAAAGCCTCCCACTCTTGCCTTTACTCAGGCTGAGGATGTTCTCAGGCAGTATCAGAACCTTTCCTCTAATCCTAATTAAACACACCTCTGCTGCCAAATATATACCAAAAGCCAGAAGCTGGGAGGAAGCAAGTGTCTTTCAAAGACATACAGAGTGATCTACCATTGAGATGCCGTCCCCCTTCCAGGGGAGGATTGTGGCTCTCTGGCAATTTTACCATCCTTCATGGGGGGTAGGGGTGGGGGTGATGGGGAAGGAATCTACTCAGCCTCCAGACCATGCCTGGTCCGGTGGTTTTCCAGCTGCTCACATGTCCCGTCTGTGGGGGTCGTGGGAGGAGTGGGTCCAGGAGTCTTGCTTGGAGAAGCAGAGATGTCAGTTGCAACACTCAAGATTCAGCTCAGGGACACTCCCTCCTCGGTCTGGCTTCCTTTTCTCTCTTTCCGCAGGAGTTTCCCAGATCTGAGATCTCAAGGCCTGGACTCCTGGTTTCCCACACTTGAGGAGCCTGCCTTCAGCAGTTTCAAATGAAGACGGTTTGGCTCCACTGCACCTTCAAGGTCTGGGTTTTGACCTTGAAGATACTTATTGACTGAGGTTATCCAAACAAGGATTTCCGAAGGCTGTAGCATCCAGTGGTTTTTGTGAGTGTGACGTCCCTGCTGCTGCCTCTATTTATAAAGTTTGAGCTCTGGTTTTTGATGGTTCCAAACCTAGGGGGTGGGGGTGGCAGTCTTTTCTTTACCTTCCATTTGCCTGTTGGCAGCTCCAAGAGATTAAAATATTCTCTTCCTACAAGCAGTCTACTGAGACTTTGGAGCACAGAAAGAGTTGTTTTAGCCAGAGCGGTTATATGACAGGAATCTCTGCCCAGAAAAGAGGAGATAAATCAATGTTTGCTTAAGGAATAAAGACCAAACTCCTCTGAAAAAACAAAATGTGATTTTTAAATGATCAAAGCTGGCTTTAGTAATCACTGAGGGAACTGAACTCCTTGAAGCTCTCAGTGGGCGCCTGATGGTATCCTTGCTGTTAAATACCAGATTTATTTGGCCATGATTAATTGCCGATGCCGGATTCCTCTCTTCCCCTTGGCGACATCTTCTTCCCAGCTAACCCCAGTCGCTTGCTCCATTTTAATCTTTATGCTTTTATGACATTTGCATTGGCTACTGTATTATCACTTATATATGGGTACAGTGGAGGGAAAAGGAGGAAACAATGAAGCCTCATTTTCAAGACATATGTTCATGTTGCATTGAATAACATGATATATATCATTTCTTCCTTCAACCATTAAAACGGCAGCTCTCAACCAACCAGCTATTGGTCCTAATACTTCTCTGAAGAGGAGATTTGAGCCTGTTTGGTGCTTACTACAATAAGTGGCATCATTGTCCATGCAGAGCCTCCAGGATTTCACCCTGCCTCTTGTTCCTGCCATGTGATCCACCACCAAAACATCCAGTGTGATGTGGACTTCCTCCATGGACCCAGGTTTCCAACACCATGCCAGTCTCAAAACTACCCTCTAATTAGGCCTTCCAAAAGGGGTAAGGTCTAAGTCCGAAAGTAAATAAAAAAGGGAAAAGAGAAAAAGTAACCAAGAAAGGATGTGCAATGGGAAGTAATGGAGGGGAGAAGAAATTTTCCTTTTCTTCTTCACTTCCCAGGCTACACCTAGTTGGATGACAGCAGTGGTGGAATTAGAAATGCGGGCAAATTATTTTTTTCCCTTAAAAAAGGTTTTTGAGTTGGTTGTTGATGCCGAGAAAGGAGGAAATAAATCACTGTTTGCTTAAGGAATAAAGACCAAACTCCTCTGGAAAAACAAAATGTGTTTTTAAAATGATCAGGAGTTTAGGGTTCCTGTGAGCTATGAAGTGCCATTGCACTCCAGCCTGGATGACAGAACAAGAACAAATCTCTAAATATAATAAAATAAAATACATTTTAAAAGGCTGTTTTGGAAGTATAAAATGCATTCAGAAATATGCTCAAATCACAAATGTACAGCTGAAATAATGTTTATAAACTGAACACACTCATGTAACTAGCACCCAGATCAAGAAACAAGACATGATGGGCACCTCAAAAATCCTCCTCATAGTCGTTATCCCTTAAGGGTTACCATATTAACTTCTGACACCCTAGAGTATGTTTGCCCACTTTTGAACTTCCTGTAAGTGTAGTTATATAGTATATCCCCTTTCAGCTTCTTTTGCTCAACATTACATTGGTAAGATTCACCTATGTACAGGTAGTTTGTTCATTTTCATTGTTGTATAATATTTAATTTTGCGAATATGCCATTACTTATTTAGCTTACTGTTAATAGACATTTGGGCAGTTTCCATTTTGGGGATGTTCTAAATAATGGTGTTCTCAGCATTCTAGTTCACGCCTTTTAGTGAACACATGTATGCATTTACGGTGGGTATGTACCCAGATATAGCACTATTGAGTGATGGGATATGTATATATTCGGCAGCAGTAGGGACTGTCAAATGGTTTTCTGACATGTATGAATTGTACCAGCTTCTAGAGTGTGAACTCAGTGTCCTCTGTTTTAGCCATTCCAAAGGTATGAGATGGTAACTCAGGTGGTTTTAATTAGAACTTCCCTGGCATTACCAATGTTGAGCACCTATTGATATGCTTATTGTCCATTTGGATATTGTTTTTATGAGGTTCCTATCCAGATGTTTTGCTTGTTTTTCTGTGGGTTGCCTTCTTCTTATTGATTTGTAGGGGAAGCCATGTCTTTCTGAGTAATCATCCTCTCCACTTTGTCCATCTCACATCCTTTCAGGGTAATTCAATTTACCCTGAGTGCTATTTGCATGACCATATTTGGTAATTGAGATGACAAGAGGAGTGAAGCCCAAAAGTCAGTCTGCCCTCAAGCTTGATCCTTGCCCTTGAGGATTTTGGAATCTTATGTCCCTGTGCTGGCCAGAATTCTTAGCTGCACCTCAGCCTCTTCTCTCACTCCCATCCTATCCACACTTGGCCAGATGGGGGCAGGAGTCAGATTGCATTTCTGGAAGGTCGGTGGTTAACTCTTCTGCAGGTTTTCATAAAAGGAACCAAGAGAGGTGGTCAAATGATTTGAGAGAGATGAGGTATGATTGACTTTGTCTAACTCCACAGATCCCAGCAGGGAGCCACTCTGTGGAGCAGTCTGGCTGTGTCTCCTTTCTTAGGAGGGGACAGCAACAGTAAGTAGCAACAAACTGATATTAATGTTGCCTTACTTCATGGCTTCCAGTAATAGCCAGTACTTTGTTTGGCTTGGAAAACATGAGCTTTCTATGTGGTGCCTCTTTTGGAATTCTATTGCTGTGTCTTCACTGATGGCTTCTATTTATACAGACCCCTGGTATTGTTAGACACAGACATGTATCAGCCATAGAAGTTGGCTAACGGCTGGGCAGAAAATTCTTTGTGGAATCACTGAGGCCTTGTGTTGGTCTCATTTTGTGATCTGATATTGTTCTGAAAGATATTGTGCTAGAACGATCAATGAACTGGTTGATCAACGACCTGGGTTCTGACAACCACCTGACCAGGTTGCTCTGTGACCTTAGGCAAATTACTTAACTTCTCTGAGCCTTTCTCCTGCTCATCTGCCAAATGTAAATCCTAACCCCTGCTAAGACCGGTTGTCAGGTTTCTGAAAAAATAAGGTGGTTATATATGGAAAAACATTTTGAAAACTGTAAAGTTCTACAGAAAAATAATAACTAAAGTACTGCTGCTCACTAGATTTTATTCCAATACAGCAATCAGAGCCCCAGGTCTTCTTTTAACCATCAACTTCCATTTTACCTGTATTAGTTGGTGTTTGGACCTGTTAGTGACCTTTAGCTGGAATTCTTTCATGTAAAAGGCACCTCTTTGGTCTCAATAAACTCTTGTACTTTGGCATTTCACCACATGGCTATTTACTCGGTGACCTTTTTCTTTCTTTGTTTCTTCTCAGGGTCTAGCAGACCTTTTGTCACCTGGACAGGATCCACTTAGGCAGCCTCCAACCTACATCAAGGGATTTTAATTTCCTCATGGCTTTGTTAACATTTCACATTGTTACAGGTCAAAACACAAGGTTATTTACTAGGAACTAAGAAATGTCACTAATCTGAGTCACAGGAGCTCCATGAGTTCCCCATAGGTAGTCAGAACAGCACATGGCACCCGTCATCCCAGTGAGTTGAGCATGGGACTGACTCTTCTAGGCTCCTGAGCCCAGTGTGCTTGACTGAGTTTCCATGGGAGGGCAGCCCTCCTAGGCTGGGAAGTGCCAGCGCACATTAGATTTGTTCAAGGAGCCTCTACCTTTACTGGCTGCCATTTTGTTAAGGAAAATTCTTTAAAGAAGATTCAAAATCTATTTCCTAACCAAGAAGTCAAGGGAAATGAATATCCTCCTTCACTTATTCAAAAGTCACCCATTCATCTTTTTACTTACTCCTTTAACACTGAGTATGTGAATACTAATGAGAGTGACTGTAATGGCTGTTGATGGATGTGTTTTTATCTTTCGCTCATCTGCTTTATCTTTCTATCATCATATGTATAGGAATAAGATAAGGTAAGAGAGGCTGTGATGAGGAGGGGCCTTACAAGCTCTCAAGGAAAAAGGATGTATTTGGTAATTGTCAGAACTAGAACTTTTTAACGCATTCCCATCTTTTGGCTTGCACAGCACTGTTCTTGCTTGTTTTCCTTCTTTGTTGCCTCCTCTTCTAACACTGAAGGGCCTCAGGGGTCCACCTCAGACCCCTTTCTCTTTTCACCACGAAGGTCCCAGCTACTCTCATGGCTACAAATACCTCCCATAGGACTTCGACCACCTGCTGCCTTCCATTTGTAGCCCTGGCCTCTCTTCTGAGCTGCAGATATGACAAGTACAGTTATATCTTCTGGTTCCAGGACCCTCGTGAGTACTAAAACCTGCGAATGCACAAGTCCCCTATACAAAATGGCATCGTATTTGCATACAAGCTGTATACCTCCTCCCATATACTTTAAATCATCTCTAGATTACTTACAATACCTAATACAATGTAAATGCTACTATGTAAATAGTTGTTGTGTTGTTTTTTATTTGTGTGATCTGACGTTGGCTGAATTCATAGGTATGGAACCTGTGGATATGGAGGGCCAACTGTGTATCTCCTTGCTCCCTTGAGATGTCCACTCAGTGGTATAAACAGCACCTCCCACTTAACACGTCAACAACTGAAATGTCCATCTTCTCCCCAAGCCTGCGTCTCCTTCATATTTTCTCTGCTCAGCAAAGCCAGAAACCCCAGCGCTGGTCCAGACACCCCTATCTCTTGTCCCTGCCCCATCCCCTAGCCCTTGCACACGCTTCTCCAAGCTGTGCTCTTCTCACCATTCCCTGTTCCCAGAATGACCGCACTGCCTTCCGAAGACTCCTCTCTCTTCCTCTTCCTCTTGCCCCATCCACTCTGCAGGAAGAATCAGCAAGTGTGAGCTTTTAAAATGAGAATTGGGTCATATTCCCTCCCTTTAAAAACCCTGTGGGAGCTTCCTGCTGCATTTGAAATGAATGGGAGCTGCTCACAGGCCTGGCCGAGCCCCCCTCCTACTCACCACCGGCCCCTCTCCTGCCCCAGCTCAGGGTCTTCCCTCAGGAAGTTCCTCTCCTCTCTGCTTCACCTGGCAACTCCTAGTGCTCCTTTGCATCTCAGCTCAAACCTCACTTCTCAGTCTGCCTCCTTGCCCCTCGATTGATTTTTCTCTGCTGTTACTCTCCTTTTCTTCATGGCCCCTCTGCTTTGTAACGATTATTTATGTGTGAAGTTGCACATTGGTGCGATGTCTGCCTCCCCTGCACAAGCCCCATGGAGACAGGGATTATGCCTTTTTTCCCTTTTTTTCTGGCACCATTTTGTATCCTTTAGTGCCAGCACATACAGGAACTTGACAAATATTTGTTGACTATATAAATGCCCAGACTCCAGAAAATCAACTATATAAATTGGAAATATAATATTCTATTTATTATTTGAGAGCATGTAATTGTCATTTAAAAACCATAACTGTCCTCAGGCCCTGGGCAATGTAGCCCTGACCTTACAGCTTGTGCTTTAGAGGCCCCGCTCTGGCCCCGCTCAGCCTGTGGCCCTCCCCATGGGTAAGGAGTGCCCAGGGCCAATGGGACAGTCCTACCCTCTGCTCCCACCCCAGCTAGCATGGGTGGATTTAGCAAGTAAAAATACATGATGGACAGTTAAATTTGAATTTCAGATAAACCATTTTTTTTCTTAGTATGAGTATGCCCCATGCAATATTTGGGACCTACTTATACAAGTATTCAGTTTATCTGGAATTCAAGTTTAACTCTGTGTCCTGTATTTTATTTGGCAGTCTTAGCCCCAGCTTTTAGACTACATACCTACAAACCATGGCCTGTGGTCCAAATCCATGTATGTTTGTACTTAAAGTTTTATTGGAACACAGCCACACCTGTTCATTTTATGTATTGTCTATGGCTGCTTTCGTGATACGGTGGCAAAGTTGAATAAGGCTGACAGAGACCGCATTGCTCACGAAGCCTAAAATAGTTACCATCTGACCCTTTATAGAAAAGTCAGCTAATCCTTGCTCTAGGTGACTTCCCCTCACAAGTGCCTGCGCAAGCAATCCTGAGCATACTTCCAGATCGTGCAGGACCTTTCCCCTGGTCTGGCCTTCGAGGATGGCCCAAGGCTGAGGGGCACAGGGATGTGGATGGGGTTCAGAGGCACGCATGCAAGGCCATCACAGTGCACGATGGGCTGACGAGGGTGCTGGATGCTGACCCTCCCTCAGCCATCTGTTCTGCCTGCAACATGAGCCTCAGCTTTTGCAGTTTGTACCTCGCCTTCCAATTCATTAGGAAGGTATGTTTTTCCAGATAGGAAACCTATTTTATTTACTTTGTGTGTTAGATTGACTTAACTTTTAAATAATTAAACATGTGGTATTTAGGCCTTCTTTTTCCCTCTTGACCTGGACCCCTCAAATGTCAGGTCGGTTTTAATCAAGGCAAATAAATGTCATAAATAGTGCCATCTTGTGGTGAGATCTACCATGATCATCTTTAAACTGTCTTGCTCCCCTGAAAACAGTACCGAAGTCATCTAAGTTTAGGAGCTTGCGAACTCTGCCTACTGAAACAAGGGAAGTTCAGAATTATACCACCAAGGCATTGGGAGGTTTGAAAATGCTTTCTGAGACATTAAAAGGATATTAAATGATATTCAGCATCGTTTTCTTCAAAATTAGTAATTTATGGGTGGTCCATAATAATAACTTCTCGTATTTGTACAGTGCTTTACAGTCTCCAGAGCATGTTCACACACAATTTCCTGTGGCCTCTATTAGCAATGGAGACTCTTATAATCATTGACTTGCCCTAGCTGTCCGTCTAGTCCAGTGCTGTGTCATATTAGAGCCATCTGCTATCAACCACAATGAGGGTTCAGCAGAAAATCAACAGAGAAGTTACACTTCAGCAAACTGGAACCTTGATGATGACCTTCCCTTAGTGTTGCCAGGCCAAGATAATGGATGGGAAGTTTCTAGAAGGGTATCGTGATCCATCCTTCAATATCAGGGATTTGTGCTGATTGCTTACTATCCGTAACATAGCATTTAGCAACAGAGCGACTCTATGACATTTCCATTATTCCTCAAACAACTAAGCCCCCTCTGCTCAGCAGGCAGAGATCATAGGAGATGCCAAAGAGGGCTCCTAGGGGTTAGCTTTCACTGATGCCTTCACTCCAGCACAGCCAGGGGGTGGTCTGAGCTGCTGGGATAACTTTTCATTCCAATCTGTCAGAGATTAGCACCTTGTCCAGAGAAAGCTGTGAAAACAGCTTTCCCCAAACAAGCCAGTGTCTGAGCTAGGGAGTTCACCGTCATCGGGGCTGACACACAGTTGAATTTCACATTACAGCTGGAAACACATAGAGGGAATTCAGGGAACAAGACAAGAAGCTGGAAGAAGCACTTTTGTTCAATTATACTTTTCTTAAAGATCAATGGATGCTTCAAAGAAGTCCACTGAGGAGGTCATTGTGTGGCTTTGACAAGAACAGTTGTGCGTCTTGCTTTGGGGAGAGCTGATCTGAACCACCCAAGAGATGCTTTGCCAACTTTTCCATTGTGCATAATGTGATTTGAGGGAAAACAAGTTTACTGTGCCTTTCATTGTAGACACCTGGGTTATGCAGTTAGCTAGGGGACCAAGTTTATCAGATCCAGGCTGGCCTGCTGAGCTCCAGACTTATTCATTTATTCATGCATGCACTCAATAATGTTTATTGAATCCCATCAATGCCTCAGATGCTGTGATTTGGTATCAAATTAATAAGACTTGACCATGCCCACATGGCATTTATAAGCTGACACTGCTGGGTACCCATATTGCAGGGGAACAGGAAATGCTTTCTCAGGGGGAGACACTTGCACCAGGCTTTGAAGAACCAATACCAGTTAGCAAGACAGATGGGGGTGAAGGAAAAGAACTCAGGTTGGCTGATGCCAAAGCCCATGCTCATAACTGCCAAGCTGCGTAACCTTGCAGAAGACATTTTCTGTTTTGACAGAGAGCATCTCAAGAAGGGATTTTACCAAGAGAACCTCCGTTCCTAAAGCCCCCATCTCCTTGAAAAGTACTAAGACTGTGTGTTCCACAAATGGCAAGACGGGGAGGGATAGAGGCGAAAACCAAAACAGTTACTCATGGAGAGATGGAAGCAACCCGGGGAGAGTACAGCATGTTCTGCTGACCTTGGCCAGCAGGAGGCAGTGCAGAGCTCTTGGAGGAGTTGTTAGACTACACTCTGGGTGGGAAGGTCCATAAGGGGAAAGCACCCTCTGCAGGAAGGCTGCACCCTCTTTTCGTTGTCTTCACAGTGCTTATTACTTTCTTAAGTGTTATTAGTCAGTTTCTATACTCTTATCATCTCTCTCTGCCTCTCCAGGACATAAACTGCACCGGTAAAGGCCATTTCACTCTTGCCTGTTTTGTCCTCTCCTGTGTTCTAAATGCCTGCATTAGGGCCTGGCATGTGCTAATTTCTTAATAAATATTTTAAAAAGTAAGTTAATGTTTGTGTGAAGCTATTTGGTATTGAGAAATGGGCATTGTAGAAAAACTAGGGCCTAGGTGTTGCCTTCTACTCCTGAAACAGCATCTTGATTAAATGGTCTATTCCACTTTTGCAAGGTGGGTAGTAAGCAGCATGGGGAAACCAACCACAGGAGAATTTCTTTGCTGGAAAAATAGATACCCTTTGTGTAATCTGGGCTGAGTCCTGCCGGAGCCAAGGTAGGCTGCCAATGCCTAGCCAGAAAGCCAAGGCCAAGGACCAGTGGGCAGGGAGGAGTGGGCGAGGTCCCGAAGCATGGCAGCGGAGAGAATGGAAGGCATGGTTCTAACATGAGATGCCCACTCCAGTGAGGGCAATGCCGAGACCAGCAGCAGGACAGTCTGAGGCTCAAGACAGACGAGAGTGATAAATGAGAAAGTGCTAAAGCACTTTAGCTTTGGGATGGGCAGGACAACCTCCTGGGACAGTGAGTGTCTGTGCCTGAGAAACTTTGAAGGCCACGCTCTCCCTTGCAGGTGAGCCTGTGTTGACTCTAGGGTGAGATTTCTGATTCAGACTCCTACTGTAATTTTGTGATTTGCTTTTAGTGTTAGCCTCATGGCCTCATTCAGTTAGGGGTACCACTTTGTCAACTAGATTTCTATATAATCCAAGAATGAACAGCTAGGAAGAACTGCCTATAAAAAAGTTCTAGTCCAGTCAGTCAGAGATACATATTGGTCAACCTTTGGAGTATGCTGGGAGCTTGATCTGTGAAAACAAAATGTTCCCTTTAATGGCACTTCAGAGAAGTATGAAGAGTGAGACCGTGACAGCCTTCAAAGCTGAGCAGCCTGGGCCGCATCTATGGCATGCTGTGGGATCTGCTTCCTGGGACCAGGGTGGCAGAGTCAAAAGAGGCATTTTCAAATTTTAAACGTAATCGGCCCCAACGTGATGTCAGGTTGCTCTTCAGATTCTTCCCCACCTGCCTTGCATTATTAAAGCCCACCTTGGACTACTTACGGTGATCAACCATTCTGGTTTGCCTAGGACTAAGGAGGGTTCCCGGGACATGGGACTTCCAGTTTCAAAACTGGGAAAGTCTTGGGCAAACCAGGATGAGTTGGTCACTAGGTTACCTGCATTGCCAGAGCTTTTGATCCATCCTTCTCTCATTTGGCTGTATTAGTTATTTTTATTATTTATTATTTATTTCTTCCCTGATCCCTCAGCCTCCTTTTACCTTTCTTTTGCTTTCAGACTTGCGTCTCTGATTCATGGAACTGTTCTGTCTCTCCAGGTGTCTCAGGCAGCACACTTTGACACCATCTGGGTTGGTGACTGATGAATGGAATGTGCCT